AGCCCACTACACCACCACAGTATCTCTCTGCTTAGACAAGCACTTAGGCACTAGAAGAAAATAAATATAAAAATACCACAGTATTTGTTGAAACGTACCAGGGTGGTTGGAGCTTTAGAAACTTTTCCTACTGCAGATAGGTGTTACACTGCATTCATTATGACGTGCTGCAACGCACTTCCTACTTGAAACTCAGCCTAAGACCAGAATACCTGGTCTTGATCAGAACCGCCATTAACATCAAAATAAACTACACTTGCCGTTAACTGTGTAAACACAAGAGATGCCGAAGGTGGTGAATCTTAAGTTAACTGTGGGATAAAAAATCTGAGCAGTATTAGAAAATTTGATACCTTTATACTTAATGTGGTACAACTGAAGGGCATCACCATTGAGAAATTTTTATTGTTTGCTACATGGAAGTAGGAGAAGGGAACGGTTTAAACTTTTACAGATTGTGAAATAACAACAGCCCATGCAAACCTGAGTGAAAGCTTTATCTCTTCTGAATAGGAGGTTGTATGGCAATACTGAAAGTGAACAAGCCAAAATTCAGCTGCACATAAATAAGTCTTAGTGCTACCTAAAAGCTTCATTGCTTCTCTACTCTCTACCTACAACAGGTAGCACAGGAGCTGAAGTGTTCAGGCACTGTAAATTCAAATAGCAAAGACGAGAGATCAAAACGTACAAAGTATGGTGTAAAAATGTTCCCACTTTTCTTTAATGGACACAGGTAAGCATGAGCATCAGCAATGCCGTACCTATATGAAATGGCTAAGCAAGGAGTCCATGTAAATGCTAACGAGAAAAGCTTGGAAAGACATTACTTATAATACCAGCATTTTAAGCACAATAACTATATCCTCAAAATACAAATTCAAATACAGTCCCTAAACAACAACCTACTATTTTCCTTTGTACACAAAAGAGACAATCACGTTATTCAAGGAAAATCTTGGTTTTGGGGAGCTACTGATCCATTCTAAGCTAAGACTCAAGTTACTACAGACTTCGTACCTAACTGCAGTCAATACTGCCATTTCATATACTTAATAATGGAAAGAATCCAGAAAAAAAACCAAGAAAACCAAGAAAACCTGAAGCATGGAAGGAACTTTCAAGAACACATTTATTACTTCAGCACAAGATAATATTAGCATTAAATGAGAGTGTTTCAGCCATCTAATGCCTCCAACTGCAAACATTAAATGAATGCAGGGGTTGGACTGAAGAACAAATTGAGTAAAGCTAAATTGGCAGAAGTAAAGATGGCTAACTGCAACAAGAGAGAACACACATCTGGGAAGCACCACACTTGTGCCAATAGTGTTCAAATATAGGCAGAAAGTTAAAATTCAGCTGTCTGTATGAGTAAGTGGTATCAGTTTTCACAAAGTTAAGATTTCACAAGGTTAAGAGCAGCTTTTAATGAAAGAAAGCATTTTCTTTTCCATTTTCCATTTTCTTCCCGTTATGAAAGGACAAGTGTAAAATTCCTTACTCACACACAGTTAACATAGAGGTGGTCATTGGAGTCAAATGGCAACTAAAATTCTCCTTAGACTTTTTCTGCTCTCTTAAGCAGATTATGTTTTTAATCAAAAATATTTACAATAAAAAAATAACTTTATACCCCAGGCTTTTGTAAGATATGAAAATTAACAGCTATATACTGCAAGTTGCATTAAAAATGTTGAAATGTTTGTGTGCAGTGTCAAAGAAAATGAGTACCAGCAACTTCCACATATTCCAGCTGGTGTTAAAGATATTGATGATCTTAAAAAACAAATCCCTAAACCACAACAAGAAAACCCCACAACCTAGTAGAATTTAACTTAGAGATGGCTACGTAAATACAGTACTATCAGCAGTTTATTAAATGCCTCTGAAAATAAGGCAAACAAGGTGCGTAGATGTGGAATTTGTACATCACACAAGTTTGTAAGATCTCGATATGTAAGAATTCTAAACTGCAAGTCCTAACAGAAAGCATAAATTCACAGAAAGAAAAAAAAATTTAACATCTTTTCATGTTAGGTTGTGTCCCATCCACAAATTCAGAAACAGAATTACAATGTTTAGTCTTACCGTAAGTCTCAACTTACTCTGAAATAAGGAAAATGTCTGAGGAAGAGACATTTTCTAGCCCCAGTAGGAACCAAATAAAATTCCTCACAGTGAATTCTAATCAGACACCACAGCACAGCTAGCTGATCCACAGTGAAATGAATATGACAGACTGGAAGATATGATGTCAATGGTAGAAATTACTGCAAGTATATGAATTATATCTGAGGAAGGGAAAGAAATTGCATAGAGTTTGACAGCACATGTAATCTATCTTAAATGATACAAAGTAGAGTAATTTTAAAGGATTAAAATACACCTTTAAAGTTTACCATCTTTGAGAAAGCTGGGGCAGCCTCTATATTTCGCTTCTATCTGTGATTTACAGGGTCCTATTCTTTGCTAGTCTTTCTCCAATTTGTCTGCTGGATCTGATTACCAGATGGCTAAAATAAATGTATTGTGTTCATTCATGGTAACAGAAGTTGTCTTTAAGGGCTCTGTCACGGCTTCACTATCTTTTCCTTTGTACCTACTCCCTCCTCTGTGAATTGATTAGATTTCAGAGCTAAGTTTCATCTGAGGGCCATTCTGTTCAATGCTGCATTGAAAAGCATATTATCTGTTCTAGGAAGCACATACAGATGACCAAAGGATATCACAGACCTATCCTAAAGCAACAACTGCCCTGCTCTGCCAAGAAAATAGATTGATCTACAATCTCAGGACACGGATTTCCAGAGTAAGTATCTGTCACTTACATACATTCTAATGCAATCCAAGAAATAGGCTGACAGTTGGATAGAAAGAAGGAAATGAAAAGCAACATATGCACAGTGCAAAGCCAAGGAAGGTAACAAGACTAAAGTGAAGACAGACATCAGTAGACAACAACTCAGAGAGCTACCCTGTACCTCACAAATGGAAATTGTTCACTACATGGTTTTATTTAATTTGGTAAACTGCCACAAACTTACAAGTAAAGAAGCTAAATGAAAGAAAAGGGTATGAATGCATTGTAGCATGAGAAGCATGCATGGTTCTACACATTGTCTCCTTTTCTTAAGGAGTTACATGTGCCACCTGTAATCTTAAAAGATAACAGTCCTAGAAATCTCTTAGATGAACTCATCCTTGAGTGGTTTTGCTAAAGGTGTGAACCAGGCTTTTTACCTAACAGATCTACTGCTGCAGTCAGATGTTTCCCTAATCTGAATTCCACTTTGAAAATGTCTAATACAATTTATTAGCACGTCAGTGTTATTTTTTAATCATTAACTTATGAACATCTTGGGGTTTATTTTCAGTTTAGTGCAATAGTTCTCTGTCTCTTAGTCAAAGCTTGGATGTCATAGAACTGGCACCTGAAGAACAGCTTTTAATATATATGAAAATCAGTGTAGTGAATCACCTAGTCAAAATTTAAGTGATCAAACTGACTGAACACAGAAGAGTGGATTCAGAGCTGAAATAAGATGAAGGCCATATCTTAAAAAACCCCAAGCTGTTTTTCATGTCATGTAACATTCCCCATTTATCCTGGAGCATCTCCTTTAAGTTTCATTTATCTAAATGCATCAGATTATACCTTCATTGGTAATTACATATAAGCATGGCAAGATAAAAAAAGCAACAAAACGAAACACAAACAAACGAAAAACCCCCAAACCAACAAACGACCAACTTAGTAGTGCAGTATAGCTTTTGATAACATCTGTCATTCCTCTTTATTTAAACTATACTCCTAGCCTTTCAGTATTTTTTTACCCAATAGCATTAATTCCTAAGCACGATATCTGGAACAGACTGAGGTATAATTATCAGGAAATAAAAAACTCAGAACACTTGAAAAACAGAAATAAAAAGTGAGTAGACAATCCACCTATGTATTTTTTCAACTGCAGCACAAATATACGGTCAGAGCAGTGGCATGTATTTTCTTTGTATACTGAGAAGGTTGTAAGTATTTTTTGACAGTTATAAAGGGGCAGTCTTGGCCATACACAAGAATCAATAACAACCATGTAAAGCCTACAGCAGTGCACACTAACAGGCTGTAGGAGACATTAACACTAGCTAAAAGAAAAAACTGTATTTTCAATGAACTTGTTCCTCCCGGATAATCAATTTTTTACACTTCTTACCAGCTGTTCCCACATAACTCAGGTAGTGGAATGGAAGCAGCTGTCACACAGAATCCATATATTACATGCATGATATGAGGTTTTAATCTGTCATAGATGTTTGCTAATTTTGATCAGTCATATCAACTTGAGAACAAGATGAAAACAAATTCACCACTTCTGTTTAGGCAAGATGGAATCTGCACAAATACACTAATCTGGCTTGATTCATTCTGGATAGCAAAAAAAAGAATACTAATTGTGAATCTGCTAATGCCCCATCCTCAAACCCCCTTTATTCCAAAAGTAAGATTTCATCATTAAAATCAGTTTGCCCCACCGCCCACATTCAAAAGATTTGTCACAATCATTGTTTCTGAAATATTGAGTTATAAGGTGCCATAGTAATTACTATGGAATAAATAGCAATTAAGATTGTTCACACAAATAAGCTCAAACTGTTTGCAGTGAATAATTATGCTAATAGTGTTTTTCTACATAATTTGTGCATCCTTCACAACAATTTACTAGAAAATGTGAAATGTAAATTTGATGCACTACTACAAAAGCTCTGAAAATATGTTCAGTTCTTATGATTTTTCCCACTAATTTAAGAAAGCACACAAACACTTCCACACTTGTACATTTATATTCGAAGAACTCAAACTAGACTGAAATTGAAGCAGTCACGTTCTTTCACTGTATTTCTAGAAAATCATCCTAAACCATATGCAACAGGCATTCACGTTGCTTAAACCTCACAACATTTAACAGAAATTTTAGCAATTTGAAAGAAGCTGAACTTACTGCTATATAATAAACTTTGGCCTTTTCCACCAACTTCCAGTTCTTCTCCAAATCAAGATGCTTTTCCTTCTTATAGCAATTAGCAGCAGCAAGGTTAGCTACAAGAGACCTGAAAGTGATTAAAAACCAGGCATTAGATCCTCTTTAACTAACACTACTGCAAATTTCTCACAAATTTCTCAAAGATAATCAAAGAGCTTAAGGAACACAGAAACAGTTAACAAAGAGCACCATAAATCACATATACTTTATTTGATTTTTTAACATTTAAATATCTTAAGTCACATTCTAAATACTATTTAAACTATATTTTAAATAGTGTATTTTAAATCCAGCTGAATACTTTATGAAAACTATCACTATTAGACTGTTCATGTGCCTTCATTTGCTTAGAATCAACCTTTGCTGCATTTTGTGATCAACTCCCTCTGTACGGTATAGCATTTGCAGATTTTCATTAAAACTCATCCAGTAACTAACACCTAAAGGAAAGTAGCTACTCCAGGTTATCTTCTCAAAACTATTTTTCCTTCACTAGAACCCAGACATTGATGGGCATGTTTGTCTTTCCTTTATATATACTTTTTAATTCTATTTTATAGTTACATTATTTAAAAGGCGGTTTGTTTGGGTTTCCACCCTGGCCCCCATTAGGTTCATATTTTCCTTTAGCAAATGAAAAAGGGTCCCATTACCACTTTTAGATGATGAACTGTTTAAAAAAAACATTTGGCTTAGCTGTGTATTACTGGAAAACTACCAAAGTCTCATTTGTACTTCATTCTTACCTAACAAGTTATAACGCAAGCCATGGGACAAAATTTCCGCAACTTCTACTAGCAAGAAAAAAGGTACTTGTATTCAGTTTGTTACATGTAAGATACATTCTATCTTAAATTCTCCTCTTCAGCCATTCTATTCATCCTTATGAAACACATGAAAGCTATAGACGCACTCCTAAAACCAGGTCATAAAAAGATCGTTACGCACTAGCTCTCCACTCTGGCTACGATGACCCAATCCTTCTGTGCACTTTTATTATGATAAAGTTTAAAAACATCCAATATTTAGTGAAGGGGATTTGGGAAACAGACATTTCCATACTTGCATAGAGACTTTTAAAGTTAATTTTCAAGATTTAATAGTCATAGGATACACCTTTAACATTAATGCATCACTGTTTCATGATATTTAAGTATATTAGCCAGATAAATAATGTGTAATTACACATACAACATATAACTATTGAAAACTTTGCCTTCTCCAATGTGTATGCAACTGATGTTGTACGTATCGCCTTTTTCCACATAAATGCTATTACAATCCAGTGCATCAGAGCAAATTGCTAATCTATTTCTAACAAGTTATGCTTCTGCCTCCAGACTGCGTACCATGTACAGGTGTTAGGAGCAAAGTAAACTAGAAATTCTTGACATTTATTCCACCTCAAACCAGCAGCTTTCCACTATTACCATTTTTTTGTCCTATTCAATAAAAAAACCCAAACAAAGCCCAACAGAATCCCTTATGAAGACAGCAACCAAGTCTCCCTTTAAACTTCCTGAAGCACTCATCACTGACAATCCCTGTAAGTTAAACAGATCAATTATATTAAATGAAAAAGTTAGACAAACTTTTTCTGAGTATATCAAAATACATAGCACAGTTCTGTCATTGCAACCCAGAAATATACTTGGGGCTCATTTCTTTAAATCTAAAGTGTAAAGGCAATGAAAACTAATGTGAATTTTGAAAATCAAATAAATTTTAAAATTATAAACAAGTAGACCAAGTCCTTCAAAGCAGTACAAGTAATAGGGCAATAAGTTTCAGTCTTGATGAATATTATCATCCACTAGTGAACTAAGTAAATCCAAGAAAGACATGTGCATAACTGTGGTAATCCTCTGTAAACCAAATTTAAAAAGCAAATTAAATCTTTAAGTTTTGGCAAACCCTAAATATCCATCAAGGACCTACCTGGAAAATTCTTGTCTGCCTACTTTTGTTGCTAAGTGAAAAGCAATTATGTTTCAGAAAACTAAGCAAAGACTTTCTATGTTTCCTTTCACTTACCACATGCCCCTGAAACTTTAAACCTAGCTCTCTGTGGCTACATACAACTATAGAGATGCTCTGCACATGATGTGTAATAAAAGATTGTTACACTGAAGACAAAGCACCAGGATTTTCCAAGTTAAAACTGTAACTCTGACAGCACTAAGTTCAACATGTGGGCCACAGAAAAGGTAGATGTTTTTTCAATGAAATACTGTAATTGGAGACAGCCAGAGTGCTTCAAATCAAACAGCTTAATGCAGACTCTGTGCATGTGGGTATTTCTGAGCAGAACACACAACTCAGAGTCACAGATTATGACGAAGTGTGGGTACTACTTTAGAGTTTAATCATGTGTTAGGATTTTCTTGAAAAGCTCTGAGAAAACAAAGCATGTTAGTATTGCTAAGCTAGAGAATTCAGAGTGGTAATCACAAATTAGCTCAGAACCCTCTCCTCTAAAAAGCTAGACAGACTTAGCAGAAAAAAGGGCATTGAAACATGAACATACACAGCCACTTACTGGGAATACCAGAGAGCTATTAGTCAGCTCCTCCAAAAGAGACAAGAAAGCTGAATTACCCGAAGAAGGAAGTTAGAATGTACCTCAGTTGGGCCAAGACCGTCATCAATAAATAGTTATGAACTGGGGCCAAGTTGAAGTGATTCTTACAAACACAGAAAATTCTGAAAACCAAGAAACAATCAGAAGGTAATTAAAGATGGAGAACAAACTTGCTCTCACTAGAAGAGGGAGGGTTGCACAATAAAGTCTTTAGTAGCAACCCCTGTCCATATTTTTCTGTCTTCTGAGGGAAATAAGCCTCTTGTACTCCCTGCACATTCTCAAGACTGCTCTGAACCAGTGATTGTGACGAAGCTATTGTCCCTAGTATTTGAGCAAACATTTGATATGCTGCTTAATAAGTTAAAGAAGTACTTGCAGACATTTTTATGAATAAATTTACCTAAACTTTTAAATTCCATTGAGATGTACAGCAAAAGACACATTTTTCCTGAATTCATGATGTATGTCTATTGACAGTCTTGACTTCAGTTTCCTGTCATGTCATCTAGGAAATGGTGATTGCTACAGAATGCATACACAGACACTGTGTGACTAAAGACAGAGAATCACAGAGCAGAAACATCTTTACTGCTTGTCTTGTCTTTGAAAAACTGAATATGGATGCTGGAGATGAAGGGGGAACTATGTAGACATAATTAATGTCAAAACTCCAGATAAAGATGAATGAACTCCCTTCCCCCACTGAGTATGTACATTAATTTCTGAGAGTAAGACATTATGTATGACATTAAATTGGAAGGGACAGGTTGATAAGCTGGAGGACATAGCTGTCTGTCTTCAGTGGATCTTCAACAGCCTGGAGAATTGGGCTGGCAGAAGACTTGAAGGCAAATGCAAAGTCATGTAACTAGGATGGAGTAAGTCCAATGCAACAATGTAGGCTGAATGTTGACAGGATACAGCTTTGCAGAAAAGGACCTGGGGAGGTGCTGGTGCGCCAGGCTTGGAACGCAAGTCAGCAGTGCACACAGGGAAGGTTAATCACATTCTAGTCTATATGAGCAAGCATGTAGCCAGCAGGACAAAAGAAGTCTATATTCAGAACAGAAAAAAAAAGTCTGTTCTGGTCTTCAGACCTCATCTGGAGTTCCATGTCTAGTTTTGAGCTTTCCATTACAAGGAAGACACTGACATAATGCAGTGAGTCCAGCAGTGGGCCATTAAGATTATTAGGGGGCTGAAACACCTAACAAATGAAGAAGGGCTTCACTGAGCCTTAAGAAGAGGGATCTAAGAGGAGGCTTTCCTGCTCTGTTCGAATATCTAATGAAAGTTTACAGAGAAAATGAAGCCAGACCATTCTTGGACACAAGAAGGAGCAGCACAAGCTGGAAGAAGGAAAATTGCAACTGGGTATCATCAGAAAAATTTCTCCCATGAAGACTGGTCAAACACTGGAACAGGTTTGCCCAGAGAGGTTGTGCAACCTCCATCCTTGGATATTCAAAACCTGGCTAGACATGGCTCTGAAAAACCTGATCTAACTTCGAAGTTGGTCCTGCTTTCTGCAGGATTCTGGACCAGATGTCCACTCTTAGTAAAATTTTCAAGGGTTCTACATGTTATACGGAAAATTCTCCTCCTCAGGCTCTCGGTTCAGCTCATGTTGCCACCTACTGCCTTTTCTAATTCTACCAAAATCATTTGCCAACTTCCTGGGAAGTTTGGTGTGGATTTTAATTATGGAACTTCTATCGTACCTTGTTAAATTCTACTAACTCCTGATACTGCTTTGGAAGAGAAAGAGCAGTTCCTCAGGATCAACGGCACTGAAAGCCACAGAGGGAAACCAAAGAGGATAATAGCAGATATTTTGCTCTCATTCAGAGCCAAAAAGAAATCATTCTTTACAGTAACTGATACCATTTTCATTACAGTTTCAGTGTCTAGTATCAGAAAATTTAGATATTGGCAGAAATCAGGCAGGGTTGGTGTGTGCTGGGAAGATCTCAAGATTATGGCAGACCTGACTGGCTGCTTTTGAAACCTTTGAAAAATTGTCAGGAGGTAATCAGAAATGCAGTAGTACGTAAGTTCAAGTGTTGTGGGTGGAGGGAGAAAGAAAAAAGCAAAGGGCCATGCTCAAGATAAATGCCTATTGTCTTTACTATCTCTTCCTGAAATTCTTGTTTTTATTGATTTTATTACAATACCAAAAATAAATAACTCTATTAGTTATGGAATATTACTTATATTACTTATGGAATGCTCTAAAACCATACACAATACCACAAAGACCATTGTTAATCATCTACAAACACAAAAAAGGTTTAACAGAGTTCTGGAGAAGTGATTTTTGTATATAGGAAAGACTACCTTAAAAAAATAGCACCTGAAAACATTCAGAAGAAATTGTTAAGATGTAGACACACAAAATTACAGTTATTAGATGAACTGCAACAGGGAAAAAAAATAAAATAAAAGAAGCTTTTTTCTTCTTCTTGTATAAAATCAAATTAACACTTTCAATCAGGCTATATGCTGACATCTATCCTCTTTAAACACATTATCACCTGAAGTATAGTCCTCATTTGCCAATCAAGTACATGCTTCACATGCCAATCAGCTTTCACATAGGCTGCATAAGCATACCTGTTAACCAAATTTGGTCTCCCACATTTTTTTCTCTCCAGAGCAACTGGAAGCTATAAAGTTCAGAAAGAAGTAGTATATTATTATCTCACATTTTTCTGCCATAATGCAATTGCTGTTCTCTAAAAGTACTAATAATGCCCAGGCCAAAACTATGAGCCAGGCAGTCCTGTGTTATCTCAAACTGTGCTAATATTTTATTTATCATTCAAATTACAACTTTTCAAGGTCAAATATTTCAATCAAAGGAGGCTCCGCACACTATGCTGAGTCCATTTATATTCTGGAAAATATCAAAGGCCCCTGACCTGTTATCACTAGTGATGCAGGCAGCACAGGTTCCTGTTGGTTCTTCACTCTGCTCATAGTAATGGGCATCCACATGAGCTTCCTCAGCCTTCTTCTTTAAGATCTCTCCGAATTTATCTTTGCCAATGCACCCAAAGAAAGTTGCAGCTTTGTAAGGGCTCTGGATCATCCACTGTAGATTGACAGAAAACAAAACAGAACAAACAGCCCCAAACCACAAAGTTAGTACACCTGGTATATTATTTTTTGTCATTTTTTTCTCTTCAGTAGTCAGATTTAATTCTGTGCTTATAGAGCACTGTGACATACAGAACGCTTCTATGCCTAAAGTAAAAAAATCTGGTACATCAAGGGAGGGAGGGTCAGCAAGGGATAAAAAAGTTACCCTTAATGATCCCACTCAGTGTTTGATACCTAATACAAAACTTAAATACATGTATTTCACTCTCAAATAAAGGAGATTAGTATGTTTTTACACGGCATTTCAAAATAAGTTCCCCTGCTCAAAGGAGATGCCGCTACACTTACATTTAATCAAGCAATTTAACTTTAAAGAAAATGTGTAGAAAAGACAATATAAACAAAAGAAACCACCCCTCAAAAAAAAAAAACCACCTACATCACAAACAAAAAAAACTCCTAAACCCCCAGAGAGATAGCATATAAGGAAAACAATACGTTTGAGAAACCTAAGAAGAAACATTGTGCAACATTCACAACATATATAAAAACTAAACGGTACTGAAAATAACCATTTGTGTCTAACATTTAATTATATGCGAAAAAGGAAATGCTCTCCATTTACATTGTTAAACCAGGCATGAAAATACCGATCTCCAACTTTATTAAGAGCAGTTCTGTCACTTGAATTGTACAGTGTTGCTAAGGTGCCAGGTTATTTCAAAAAGCTCCTCTTTTATTAATACAAAATATGTATCATTTAACTGTAAATGTAACTCCATTTTGTACTAAGTTAAAAACCAGCATTTAGCAGCAATATAAAATCAAGAGCAAACTAAAGAAATTAATGTGAAGAAACAGTCATAGGCCCTACTCTGCTGGTGGCGAGTCAACCAACTGAAGTCATTATAATTCACTCTAATTACAGTCAGAAAGCTTATCCGCTCAATCTATAGTATGAATTAGAGGCTGCAACAATTTACTGCTATACTAAAACCCTACTTATAATTGTTTCCTAATCAAGATTTACATAAACGATAATGTCTCCATTACAAAGCAGCATTAGTGGTAGCTGTGGGTTGTAGAAAGGTCAAGTAACTGAGTTGCAAATACATGCTTAGTCACATCTTTATTACTCCCAGGCTCCAGAGAAGGAAACCAAAATATCAAAAAAGCCCCAAACAAACAAAGCAGAAACCCCAAGCTTTAGTCATGTAGAAGTCTTCATTAATAAAGCAAAGGTCAACAAAAGTTGCAAGTCCTCTTTCCTACAGCAACTTAATATATATGAATTTCAATTTAATATATATGAATTTTAAGGACGGAAAAAAAGGTTGTGTCATCAGAGGGTGGCAGCATTCAATCTCTCATTCATGAAATGCACACTACATGTGCTGTGCTAATCTATTCCATATCACTCTAAATTAATATAAATTAGGCAAGCCCCTAACGTGAAAATTATCTATGATATCTTTGTATTTTACATACATTTGCACATACATAATACATATTTTCACAGTGTTAATTTAGGATATCTCAGGAACAGTAATCTTCTATATTCAGGGGTATAGTTAACTAGAACAGACCATTTAACAAGATTGAAGATGTTATGACCTACTGTAAGCAAATATGAATCAATTTCCACACCTATAAGAACAGAAGTACCTGAAACCTTGTGTCCCGTGTTGAAAAGCATGCCTTACTTTCATAAATAACAAGTATTAATAGAGATCACTATTTAAGAAAGCATCAAATCCCAACAATTCTTGAAAAAAATGCAGGACTTCAAACTGCACCTTGGGCTTACAATATTTTGTCAAATGACATAACTTTCCCATTCTTTATATGTAAAGTCTGACAACATTTGGAGCAGTAGTAAGCAATATTTCACATACATCTCTGAAAAAAGAATTTCTGTTCAAGTATCACAGCTTTGGCTATTGGCAGCAGCTCAGTTTGAATTCAAATGTGATACATGCCATATATAACTGTCACAATCCTTACTTCAAATGTAAGTAAAGTTATTTTTGAGAATCAAAAGTCATGATCTAGAATTTCTGGAGATGAACCTCTGTATATTGTGCAGACCACTTCTTTCATAAGCAGTGGTTCTGCTCATACTCATGACTCTTTGAAACACAGGTATTATGCGATGGGGGAATATTCCTACCATACGGATATTCCTTTCATTTGAACATCTGAGCTAAGTTCTACTACACTGAGGAAGATGGAAAAGTAGTCCAGCAGTGTTTCTGGAAAGATCCTCTCATCACAGAGGGTCCCAGCTTCTTAGAATTATCTCCACATATTCCCACCATAATCGTGGCGAGGTGTTGCTAGTTGCAGAACTCCTCCAAACTGTTTCTCCTTTCCTCTTCTAAAAGGCTACATATTAGTAAAGGCAAAAAACAGGCATCACATTGCAAACTTGGTGAAACTGAACTACAGAAATATCTCTGTGGTATACCATTGAAGCTGCACCTACTGGAATGAGTCACAGCAGGCATTTTTTGCATACGTGTGAAAAACCAAGAGACAAAATAACATTTTCAAGGTAGACTTTGAAGCACTTTTTCAACATTTGACCCTGGATTGGAGTTTAATTTTGAACAACCTGGTATAGAAAAAACAGGCTTCTATGGGCTATTTCACACATCCAGCAACATTCTGGCTAAAACACTCTAAATGGAAATGGGGGTCAACCATAACAAGACATTTATTACCATGAAATAGTCATGCAGCATTATATCCAACGCCAAATGAAGGCAAATAACAAACTGCACACATTAATGTCAGGTATATGGTTATGTAAACTGCAAATTCATTTTATAGATTTGTGCGGAGTACAAGATTTAATTGAATGAAAGAGACTCTAGACAGAAACAGAAAATGACCCAGCTCAGCAGGCACTAGCATAATGAGTTAATTATCTAGGGTTTGGCTAGGCAGTGAGGCAGCTATTAACTAACTGTATTGACAGTCTGGCCAGGAGAGGTTGGCACCTGGCCACACCATGAATCCTCACCATCACCCAAGAGAATTTGAGGCTGCTAATGGCTCAAAGACTTAAGTGTCAAAAACAGGAACTTATCATGAAGGAACAAGACAGCCTCAGGACCGGGGTACAAAGGAAACAAAGTTGAGTGTTTTATGAAATCTAATGTATTTCTTCATTCTAAAGTTTTCTTCTGCCAACCAAACTTGGACACCAGGTACAGACAAGGACAGGCCCTGACCTTTTCAGTTAGGATGAGCAGCCATGACAGAGGAAGGAGCATGGGAAATAGAATACCTTTCAGGTGTTCTCTTGAGTTAAACAGATTGCATTTTCCTTACATTTTCGTTGTATGTGCTCTGGTAAATTAAAAGCAAATATTAACCTTATTTATTTATTGTCTTTAGCATAACTCTGTCTTAAAATTAGGCTGATTTCAAAATAAGCATAATCTAATATCAGATTACACTATCCCTATAGCCAAATTATTCCTTATCATCAAATACTGAATCCAGCATATCCAAAAAAGGCCAGCACCCTGGCCACTCATGGATACACTAGACTGACACAATGTGTCTCTCCTTATTTTCATGAGGCCAACTTGGGCTTACAGTATTAGGAATATCTGTTCAAGAGTTTTTTCATAATCAGAGTTAACAGGGTGAACTCTTTGACATGCTTTAGCTATCAGAGAAGTGTAAGTACCTTGGTGCTCCAGGGAGTGGGTGGCAATTGCAGAGTACAGCATCGTCTTTTCTTGCAAGATGTTGAGATGCCAAGAAAACTTGGTAGCAAGTAAAACTTCTGAAGACTCAATTGTGACTTTGTAAGTCTGCTTGGAGTGAACTCTGTTCCAGTCTTTCACATCCTCAGAACTGAAGATGTGGTACACCTATTCCCTAGTTTTGTCTGATTAGAAAATGGCTTTGGAAGCAACCTTTCCTCCGAGTTACAGAAGCACTTCTTCCAACACTAGAAGGGACTTGACTTTGATTGTCTACTCAATGCTGCCTTTTGAGAATGGTATTCAAGACGAGATGACAGAGTTACCTGAATGGTTCCTTACACCCAAAAAGTAAAAAAATGCTCCTTTATGCTATGTGAAAGAAAATGAGTGGTCTTAATGAATTAAATAGAGAAAGGGAGAGAACAGATTCATTGAGCTCTATTTCCCAAAATTTTCCTGTTTAGCTTAAGAATACCATGCTTCTGTCACTCTGGCAGAGTTCAGTACCCTATATTGCACCATTTGATCTTCATTGAAAGCTTTTATTTGCTGTTCATGCAGAGTTCACTGTAGAGGAAACCTCTGCTAGAAAGGCAAAAAGCAGCAAAACTAGCTGATATAATTTACCTTAGTATCTCCAGTTGCAAAGATACTTCCCTTGCAAAAGAAGGATTTGCTACTGCTTGGACTCAGTAGACAATCCTGTAAGACTTAAAAAGAATACTGATGAAGCTTAAGACAGCTTTATAGCCCTCTGACTAAAACAAAGATCCTTCAGAAATTATTTCATTTTACTCCAACTCTATGCATTAACTGGGCAATACTGATAATCAGAACAAGGAGGCTGACAAAGACACTTGCTACCAGTCCCACATTGTTCTTCATCTGAAATCTTTAGCTCCTGAATTCTTTTTTAAAAGCTGCAGCCTGTAGTGAATTTCCACATCTGTCAGTTGTCTTAAACTAACAAAACCAAAGCATACAAAGCTTTGCTTAGACTGACATACCTTCTGCACATAGAAGTTTTTAGCTGTAGACTTGAATCTGAAATGCCTAGGAACTGACAACACAACAGGAAGCATTATGCCCCTTCACAGTGAAGGATCTTCAAAACTCATTAACACTGAATACAGACATCTGAAGTGCATCTGAAGTGTGTTATTTGAAGCTGGACTCTTCTCTGCATGATCTGTCAAATCTGATCTTACTTTAAATTGCAGCTCACAGAGGAAAGGACTCCAAAGACCTAAAATTAGCTAAGACTTAACATGCTTGCTAAAATCTAAACAATGTTAGCAATTACTCATGAAGCATTCTTTCTAGTAAATCAAAACAGAAATGGCTTCTTTTT